CGTCGCGGGGGGGAGCACCCCCCCCCCCCCCGCAGTCCTGGGTCTGGTGCACAGAGACCCCGATCACGCCGTCCCCGGGGAAAGCTCAGAGCCACGCAGTGGTGGAGCTGACCGAGCAGGACCCAGCGTGGAGCACCCGGATCCGGAGGAAGCCCTGATGCAAGACAGCACAGAAACGCGGGGGGGGGAGAGGGTTGAGCCTAGACTTGGGTGGGAAACTGCTGAGACATCCAGAGAAAGAGTTTATTAAAAAAAATAAAAAGTTGCCTGTGCTGGACTGACACACAAAGGTGAAAATTTGGAATTTTTCATTGCACTGAAATTTCACAATATTTTCTTTTGGAAACTGTGATCAATGGCATTTTCCAAATGAAATCTGCTGCCAAGCAGGTTAGGGAGGATAGACTTGGGTGGGAAACTGCTGAGACATCCAGAGAAAGAGTTTATTAAAAAAAATAAAAAGTTGCCTGTGCTGGACTGACACACAAAGGTGAAAATTTGGAATTTTTCATTGCACTGAAATTTCACAATATTTTCTTTTGGAAACTGTGATCAATGGCATTTTCCAAATGAAATCTGCTGCCAAGCAGGTTAGGGAGGAGCCCAGCCCTTGAGCTCCCCGGAAGCCAATACAGCTTTCAAACCCTGCCTGAGATCTGTCCAAATGTAGTGGAAACTGAACTGGTCCTGCAAAAATGCTCCATCAGCAACTTCTGGAACACCCACTCCCCGGCTTCCCCTAAAACGCCCGAGGAAAAGTTTTGCCCTTGAGAATGGGTGAGCTGTGGCATGGACCCAGCCTTCCTGGGCTGGCAGCAGCCGTGCAGTTGGAAGCAAGAAGGGACTTGCACCTTTTGGGGGGGAAGGAAAAAACTACTCGAATCCTCAACTCCGAGTGAGGCAGGTAATATTTCATGTTCAGTGGGAGAGCCCACATTGGAACCCTGTATTTCTGCCCTTCATGTCTTGGCTATGTCTCATCTGCTAGTCCAGTGGCTCTTAACCTTTCCAGGCTACTGTCTGCCTCCAATTGGTCTTATGTACCCCCAATTTTCACCTCACTTAAAAACTACTTGCTTACAAAATCAGACCTAAAAATACAAGTATTACAGAACCTTATTACTGGAAAATTGCTTATTCTGCTTTTTACCATATAATTACAAAGTACTTTGATTGGAACATATATAGTGTGCTTGCATTGCAGTGTTAAAATATAGGAGTATAACAAGTCATTGTCTGAAATTTTAGTTTGTACGGACTTTGCTCGTGCTTTTTATGTAGCCTCTTGTAAAACTAGGCAAATCTCTAGCTGTGTTGATGTACTCCCTGGAAGATCTCCCTGTACCTGCAGGGATAGAAGTACCCTGCTTGAGAACCATTGTGTGAGGCTGCTTGGCTTAACATGCACAAGGGAAGGAAGCACCTTGGTTTGGGAATATGTGACACTTGGGGCAATTGTCTGCTCCCCCATTGCCAGGGTAATATGAGACCAAGGCAGGATGCCTGCTTACACCACCCCTCCCAAAGCTGGGAAGTAGATGTCCATCACAAGCCCTGACTGCACCCTGCTTCTGGCTGTTGGTTCTGCTCTGCTTTGGAGGAGAGAGAATCTGTCTGAGCAGCTAAGCACATGCTCCTTCCTGTACAGAAGAACAGATGAGCATGGAAAGAGGCCAAGCTGTCCTAATCCAGCCCTTGGAAGAAAAGCCACGTTTCACCACCACAGGGTCTGGCTCTATTTCAGCCACCACAAGGGGCAGCATCCGCCCCTGCTTGGTGCCTCCAGCTGCTCCTCTCACTAGGCACTTCTAGAACATAAGAACAGCCATACTGGGTCAAACCAAAGGTCCATCTAGCCCAGTAGCCTGTCTGCTGACAGTGGCCAGCACCAGGTGCCCCAGAGAGGGTGGACTGAAGACAGTGATCAAGTGATTTGTCTCCTGCCATCCTGCTCCAGCCTCTGACAAACAGAGGCCAAGGACACCATTTCTATCCCATGGCTAATAGCCTTTTATGGACCTAACCTCCATGAAATTATCTAGCTTCTCTGTAAACTCTGTTATAGTCCTAGCCTTCACAGACTCCTCTGGCAAGGAGTTCCACAGGTTGACTACACACTGTGTGAAGAACTTTCTTTTATTAGTTTTAACCTGCTACCCATTAACTTCATTCAGTGTCCTCTAGTTCTTCTATTCTAGGAACTAAGAAATAACTTTTCTTTATTCGCCCTCTCCCACCACTCATGATTTTATAGATCTCTATCATATCCCCCCTCAGTCTCCTTTTTTCTAAACTGAAAAGTCCCAGTCGTTTTAACCTCTGGAGCCTTGGTGAAGAGTTTTGCCTTTTGGAAACTTTCCACCTGCTGACTTCAGGGAGCAGCACATCCTTGCATCTGCACTTTCTTCTCCAGCTGCCTTCCCCCTTGTAACTTCATTGGTCCTTCTTAGTAGCCTACAAAGCTGTGAGAGCCTTTATCCTCTCTTACTAGTGCCCTTGCTCTCCAGCCTCTGCTTGCTGTCTCAGCTGTGGCTGTGCAAATCCAAGCAATCACTTCAATAACGGCGAATGGGTAGCTGGGACGAACTAAACCTACTGTGAAGGCAGAGTCTGGGCAGCTGACAGTCTTGCACATGTTACCAACCTTTGCCTGGCTTCTTTTGCCAATAAGCTCTTATTGAATCTGAGGCTGAGGGCATAGCCTTGCGTATTGCTGGTGGAGACAACTTATCTGCAGGCGCCTTTTCCTCTTGCAACTCCCATCAAAGGCTTTCAAAGCACAACACGGACCTTTATGAATGAAGCTTCAACCCTTCCCTGGAGATGTTATCTCCGATAGGGAAACTGAGGCACATCTGTGATTTGCTCAGGGAACAGCAGATATTTGGTGACGGAGCTGGGCAGAGAGCCCGTGACTTTTGTTTCCTGGTACTTTTATTCTAACCATTGGTTCTCAACTTATTACCATTGTGCTCCAATAGCTGTATAACCTGTAGACTTACCTGTATGACACTGAGGGTGTCACATGGGCCGCAGCTGTGTGCAGATTGGGCTGCACGCAGTCCATGAGCCTCAGGCGGAGAACCACTGGTCTAATAGCTAATTCCCACGTCCGTAGTGGGAGGGGTGGAGAGGCTCAGGTATCATTTCTCAGTTCCTCAATGCCAAGCTGAATTTTTGTGCTGCTTTTGCTGGTTTCTGCTCCAGTTGTTTTGTGGTGCCAAGTTTCTGTGATGGCTTTGTCCGCACATCCGGTTTGTATGCACACAAGAGATGGGAGGCCCTGGTCCCTCTTGGCACCAGCCTCACCCAACCCCCACTTCTTTAACAACTCCTGCCAGCTGGACAGGTCCCCAGAGGCTAGACTAAGCCTTTCTCCTGATGGGTTCAGCCAGAGCCCTCGTGCAAGCGGCAAGGGGAGAGCAAAGTCTGACTGTCAGTGGCTGGTTTGGGTGACATGGCCAGGTGGTGCCACATGTACAGTGTTTGTGGTGTTGTGCCTTCCAAACAGGCTCAGGAGTTAAAGCAGCTTGTCCTGGGATGACCTGGATTGTTAACTTGGCTGCGTGCTCCAAAGCACTGGATGGAGCGCAGCTGAGAGGAGATGCTTAGCACGGTGCCTCTAGGCCAGCGAGCCAAACTCCGAATTGGGAGCTCATAGGCCTGGAGTCTGTTTCCAGGTCTGCCACTGACTTGCTGCATGTTTTTGGGCAAGTCACTTCATCTCCCGGCTGCTCTGTCCCCAGCTGTAAAGCCAAGCTAATAGTGCTGATTTGGTTACAAGACCAGTGACAGGATGGGCTGGTCTCATTCCTGGGGTCGGGTTAGACTTGCCAGTTAGTGCATCCCCTCTGTCAAGGGGCTATTTGGCAGCTTGTCCACCAAGCAATAAACTAAGTTAAAACCGAGGAGTCCTGTGGCACCTTAGGCTACGTCTAGACTGCATCCCTCTGTCGACAGAGGGATGCAAATCAAGCACATCGCAATTGCTAATGAAGCAGGGATTTAAATATCCTGTGCTTCATTAGCATAAACATGGCCACCGCTTTTTTTGAAACGGTGCTTTTTCAAAAAACGGCAGTCTAGACGCGGATCTGTCAGAAATAAACCCTTTTGACAGCTCCCCTATTCCTCAAAAAATGAGGTTTACAGGATCTGTAGGAAAAGGGTTTATTTTCGACAGATCCGCATCTAGACTGCCATTTTTCGAAAGCTCCATTTAGAAAAAAGCGGTGGCCATGTTTATGCTAATGAAGCACTGGATATTTAAATCCTTGCTTCATTAGCAATTTTGATGTGCCTAATCTACATCGCTCTGTCAACAGAGAGGTGTAGTCTAGACCTGGGGCATAAGCTTTCATGGGCAAAACCCAGTTCATCAGATGAACTGGAGTGGAGTTTAGAGGCACAGGGACAACAAAAGAAAAGGGGTAGCTGTTTGGCTGCACTGTGGCAAGTAACAGAGCTTTTCCTAGCTCATATCCAGGCAGGTGCAGTTGGTGAGGAGCCAGCATGGCGTACTGGATGCGTGGAAAAGGAGGCTGTGTGTAGACAGAATGCAGGGAGAGGAGAATGCCAGGTGACTGGTGAGTTCTCAGCTGACAGCAAATTCTAGGAAGTGCAAATTGTGTGAAGCCATATTGTTCCCTTGAGTGCGTTACCTAGAGCTGCGTCCAAACCTGACGTATGTGAGGGAGTTAGGACTAGATCACTGCGCTGGACTTTCCCGTTTGACTTCTGACAGGAGGATGCTAGGGGCTTGAGGGGAGGGCATGCTGGGTAGCAATCCAGCCTCTCTCTCTCCATGCTTGTTTAAGAAACATTGCTGTTTAGGAATACGCAGAAGAGAAATAACAGGACACTGCTGTGGGCACGTGTTGTGCCAGACAGGACTGAACCCAGCCCACCCTGGACAGAGCTGCTGGCGCTGTCCAGAAGGTCAGATTGACCTTCACCACCTTATGCTGGGGTAAATAAATAGTAAAGCAGTCGAAAGTTCAGAAGGAGTCCCTGAACCCTGCCAATTCTGATGAGCAACAAAATCACTCCTGGTTAAACTCCAGGGTAGAATAACGTCCACTGATTTGCATCACTAACTACTCCGCAAGGGTGCCGTTTGTAACTGCATACTTAGGCCGATCTCCCCGTGCGGCTGCCAAGTAGGGCTGACGAGGGTCTTGCAGGGGCTAGCTTGGAGGCCAGCTGTAGTACCTGCCAGCACTCCCACTGGGCAGCAACAGGATCATGAGCACTTGCAGATGGACCATTCAGGGAAGGGAGGGTGTGGAGTGGTTTTTAACAACCCTTGAGTTTCTTGCCCGCTCCACTGACTTCTGCGGGGTGGTGGCTAGTTGCCACTAGGGAGGCAGCTGGTACATCCTGTGCATTGTGATCCCTTGGTCTTCCTGCTCCCTCTCGCAGATGGACCGTTCAGGGAAGGGAGGGTGTGGAGTGGTGTTGAACAACCCTTGAGTTTCTTGCCCGCTCCACTGACTTCTGCGGGGTGGTGGCTAGTTGCCACTAGGGAGGCAGCTGGTACATCCTGTGCATTGTGATCCCTTGGTCTTCCTGCTCCCTCTTCCAGCTCCTATGAACCGCCTTCCCAGTCACCCCACAGAAGCCCCTGGGCCGCAACGCTCACCCTCCTCCCCTCTCTGCCTTACAGAGAGTACATGATGGTCACGGAGCCCCCCTGTGTCAGCAATGGGAGCGCGAGTTCCAGGTCAGACGGCGGCAGCAGCAGCGGCAGTGAGAGCTCCAAGGACAGCTCCCGATGCTCCACCCCTATCCTGGATGCTGAGCGCCACGAGAGGTTGCGGGAGAAGATGCGCCGGCGCCACGACTCTGGAGACAAGTGGTTCTCCTTGGAGTTCTTCCCCCCTCGGACGGCCAACGGTGCAGTCAACCTGATCTCCAGGTGAGCCCTACAGGGTGGGGGGAACGGGGAGGAGGTGCTTTGATTGGGGGACAGCCTGATAGAGCAGGTTCAGGCCTGTGCTCTGTCTCCCTTCCAGGTGAAGAAGCAGCTAATGGACTCCAGGTAATTCATCTTTGCATCCCTGTAGAGTTAAACACCACGGTGGGATTGCTAAGGGGCTGGATCATTTCGTACGCAAACATATTCCTGCTACAGATGAATCCACTCTCATGCTTCAGAGTCTGAGCTGATCATCATGGGGTCAGGTAGGGGAGCAGAAAGCAATCCTCCACATAGGGTACCTCTAAACTATGCTGTATTTTCGTCTTCTGATCTCACCTTCGAAAACTCTGCTTTTGGGGGTGGGATTGCTAAGGGGCTGGATCATTTCGTACGCAAACATATTCCTGCTACAGATGAATCCACTCTCATGCTTCAGAGTCTGAGCTGATCATCATGGGGTCAGGTAGGGGAGCAGAAAGCAATCCTCCACATAGGGTACCTCTAAACTATGCTGTATTTTCGTCTTCTGATCTCACCTTCGAAAACTCTGCTTTTGGGGAAAAAACCCTTTTAAAAAAAACGCATAAACCTCATTTTTTAAGGAAGAGTGGTTTGGTATGTGGGTTTTTTTTTGTTTTTTCCGACAAAGGTGGTGGGGTTCCTCCCCCGAAAAAACTGCGTTCTGACTACTTTCACTTTCGAAAGCTCCTGCAGAATTTGCACATCCTCTTTCGAAAATACAGCGTAGTCTAGACATAGCCTTCGTGTGCAGGGTCTGGAAGGTGCATTAGTGGGGTGTGTACGGGTGTCTCCTGGTGAAGCATTGTGTATTAATTTTTGCCTTTGGCAGTAACCAAATTAGATGGACCAGTGGCTGGTCTCTTGTTGCAGGGCTCATGGCCATGCAGTGTGAAGGCTGTTTGCCTTCTGCTCATCTGGATGCTTTGCTCTGGGCCATTGTCTTTCCTCCTCCTGGTGGGAGTCTCGCCCCATGTCCAGACCAAACCTCTGCAGTGCTGTGCAACACAAACGCTCTGCCCCTCGTGCCCAGTCCCTGTGGCAATGCCCAAAGGGAAAAGCATGGCCTGTACACCTCTGTCCTGTCTCCGGCCTATGCTAATGGAATAGCAGGGCCCTGCTTGGCATGCCCTGGCCAGGCTCCGGCCTGGGGTAAGCAGGCACAGCAGCACTGAAGGCAGGGGGCCTCTGCCATCTGGAGCAGCCACAGTTTGGAATTGGGAGTTGGATTCGACCTATTCCCCTTCCTAATGGCCCCTGCAGCACCCGCTTCCCCCGATGTTCCCATTCTACCCTCTTCCCCAGATGTGTATCCTAGCCACGGGCCTGCCACTTGCTCCTCTGGAAGAAGATGCCACAGCCTCAAAGCTGTGGCTGACAGGAAGCTTCCAGGAAATCCAGCCTAGAATTCCCTCTAAAAACCAACCAAACCTTGCCTCAACTGCTCCTTCCACCCCTTTGGACCTCCCAGAATGTGGCTTGTCTCTGTGGTGTTGATCTGCTGGGTTCTCGTGGCCTTTCCTGGTTTCTTTACCAACCTGGAGTGAGTTAGTTTTTGGTCTTTGCTCCTGAGGCGATCACTTCAGCCCAGTAATTGTGCTGCTCTTGTCTGTTCCCTCCTGTCGGTCTGGTGGTGAGGCGCCTGGCACTGAATGTGATCTCCCAGGCATGGGGGTGACAGCCCCACAGCCTAGCAATGAGCTCTGCTTCTGCTGCGCTCTGCAGGTTCGATCGCATGGGGATGGGCGGCCCTCTCTTCATTGATGTGACCTGGCACCCAGCAGGAGACCCTGGCTCTGACAAGGAGACCTCCTCCATGATCATCGCCAACACGGCTGTCAACTACTGTGGCTTGGAGACCATCCTGCACATGACGTGCTGCAACCAGACCAAGGAGGAAATCACAGGGCACCTGCAAAAGGCCAAGCGGCTGGGACTGAAGAACATCATGGCACTGCGAGGAGGTGAGTCTTCCTCTCGGCCCTGGGGATAATGCCAGAGGTGACCTTTCTGGAAGGGGGTGACCAGAATGAACCGACCTGGTAATCTAGTGTCCCTTCAGGTTCTCAGGCTGTGGGATTAAACATCTGTTGGGATCTGTTCTCCTGTTGCCCCAGGACAGGGCGGCCCTTGGGTAAGGGCTGAGCAGGTTGTTCAGGGAGCTGAGTTAACCTTGACTCAGGAGGCGTGGTGTCTCCAGCTCCAGGGCGGAGGTGGCTGGCTCATGGCGTGGAAACCATATAAGGAAGCCAGTGGATTTGAGAAACTCCATTTCCCCTTCCTCGCAATAACGGGCATCAGGTGCTGGCGGAGCTTTGCTCTACACCGGCCGTTGGTCAGTGCGGTCTCCATTTCTCCTCACGCAGACCCCATTGGCGAGGAGTGGGAGGAAGAAGTGGACGGATTCAACTATGCCGTCGACTTGGTGAAGCACATTCGCTGCGAGTTTGATGACTACTTTGACATCTGCGTGGCAGGTAAACGTATCTTTTTCTGAGCCAACTTCGATCTCGGAATCGACAGACTGTGCCGGCAGGGCTCTGAGCGATGGCTGGGGGGTGCTGGTCTCAGTCCTGACTGGTTCAGATGTTTGATGCCCCAGGGTCTGAGGTGCTGCAGGAGAGAGCATGCAGCCTCCTGGCTCAGCTTCCCCCTTCTCTCTGAAGGTTATCCCAAAGGTCACCCTGAAGCCGAGAGCTATGAAGCCGACCTGAGGCACCTGAGGGAGAAAGTCTCCGCTGGGGCTGACTTCATCATCACTCAGCTTTTCTTCCGGTCCGAGACCTTCCTCACGTTCATGAAGGACTGTCAGGCCATTGGCATCACCTGCCCCATTGTACCTGGCATTTTTCCAATACAGGTGAGATCCCCAGCCCATGCCAGGAGAGCGAAGTGAGCAGCTGGAAGGGGTCAGTGGTTGGATTTTGGGGCCAAGCACACTTAACTGAGGCTCTAACTCACTAGTCAATGAGGGTGCTGAGTGTGCCCCAGAAGGCAACCGGAAGCTTGTAGGATCTTATCCCTGCAGAGGGACAAAGTAATGGCAGGGGAGGATTAGTAATGTCACTAAGCAAAGCCAGCATGATGCAGTGGGTAAACTGGAGCCGTCGGCCAAACGGAGCCAAGCTGCTAGCTGCATGTCTCTTCCCTGCGGAGTTTACAGTCTGACACCTGGCAGGATGTGACGGTACAGAACTGCAGCTCGGACCTTGTGGTCCTTTTTGTGCTCCGCATTGTCAGTAGGGGTCTCAGGTGCTTTTCAGACGTTAATTAACCCCTGATTACCCACCCCCTTTGAAGGAGGTAAATACTGGTCCCTTCTTCAAAGATGAGTGGGTGGAGGGGTAATCAAGAGATTCGTCTAAGGCTGCACTAAAAATTGGGAACAGAATCCAGGAATCCTGACTCAGTGTCCTGCTTTGACTATCACCAATACTCTCCCCCTAGCTGGGATCTTTCCTGGTACAGATTTTACTTTGCCAATTATATGGAAAACAGAAGTAAGCCTGAAAATTGAGACACGTTGTAAGCAGCCCTGTACTTTTCCCTTGGGCGTCGCTAGGACTCTGCCAAATTCACAGCCATGCAAAACGCATCATGGACTGAGAAATCTGGTGTCGTCCTGTGAAATCTGGCTGTGTGCGCCTTTACCCTACCCTCTACAATACAGATTTCGTGGAGGAGACCAGCGTTTCTCAAATTGGGAGTCCTGACCCAAAAGGGAGTTGCAGGGGGATCACAAGGTTATTTTAGGAGAGTCATGGGATTGCAACCCCTATGTCTGTGCTGCCTTCAGAGCCAGGCAACTGGAAAGCAATGATTTTAATGTTGGCCAGGTGCCCAGCTCTGAAAGCAGCACCCCACCAGCAGCAGGGCAGAAGTCAGGGTGGCAATACCATGCCCATGTCACCCAGCAGTGCAGAAATGGAGATGGCAATACCCAGGACTTGACAAACTGTGGCGAGAGCTACTTGCCAGCCCTGCACCGCACATGTGCCAGACCGGCACTGCACGCATGCGCAGTGCCAGTGAATGGGGCGCACGGAGCGACTGGCTGAAATCTACTTGCCACAGGCGAGTAGAAACAGCGGTTTGTCGAGCCCTGGCAATACCATACTAACAATACAGCCTTACATCTGCAACTCTGCTGCTAGCAGTAGCTCTGCCTTCAGTACTCCATTCCTGGCCAGCAGCTACTGCTCTCCAGCTGCCTAGCTCTCAAGAGAGCACCCCTGCCACCAGCAGAAGCAAGGGTAGCAGTGCCACAACCCCTCCGACAATAACCTTGTGACCCTTCCCCCCTCCCTGCTCTCTCCCTCCCCCCCACAACTACTTTTGAGCGAGGACCAACACTGACATTTCGGCTACGTCTACACTGCAGGCTTCTTGCGTGAGAACGGCTGTTCTTGAGCCAAAACTTGAGGAGCACAAGAGTTATTCCTCTCCCCACGAGGAATAAGCCCTCTTGAGCCAGAGGGCAGTGTGGACAGGCAACAGGGGTTTCTTGTGCCAGAAACCCTTATAACTAAAATGGCCATCAGAGCTTACTTGCACAAGAGAGCCTCCACGCTGCCATGGATGCTCTTGCGCAAAAGCACATGACCATGTGGACACGCTCTTGCACAAGAAGCCTGCAGTGTAGACGTAGCCTTCAAGTTTAAGTATCTGAAATCATGAAACTTTCCCATTTTTAAATCCCATGACAGTGAAATGGACCAAAATGGATTGTGACCTTGGTAGGGCTATAGGTATTACCCTCCCCTGTTCCCCTTGTATCCCGTGTCCAGGGCTACCATTCTCTGCGCCAGCTCGTGAAGCTCTCCAAACTCGAGGTGCCACAGGAGATCAAAGAAGTGATCGAGCCCATCAAGGACAACGACGCAGCCATCCGGAACTACGGGGTGGAGCTGGCGGTGTCCATGTGCCGGGAGCTGCTGGATAGCGGGATGGTGCCTGGTCTGCATTTCTACACCCTCAACAGAGAAGTGGCCACCACCGAGATCCTCAAACGTTTGGGCATTTGGAAAGAAGACCCCAGGTGAGCAGAAAGCTACTCCCGGGGGCATCTTTCCCCTGTCAGCTTCATCTTCAATAGATACGACCTGTGAAGAGAAGAAAAAGAGCTGGCACCTCTCCTACTGCTTTCTGCGGGAGACAGAAGCCTTCCGTGGTGGTTCTACCCACTTCCACCTTCTCCTGCTGTTTGTATTGCTACATTAGAAATGCAGGTCTGGCATGTCCTGGGAGACTGGATAGCTTGGAGCATTATGATCACCAAGTGCCAAGGTTGTGAGAGCGTCAGCAACTGAGAGGGGAAGGTGTTTTGTAGTTGGACTATGTAAAATTATTGCTCGGTGTGATGGGGTGTGTTTGGTGGTGGTTTTGGGGTTGGTTTTTTTTACATATTTTTTAACTCAAATGCCTGATGAACAATGAAGAAGGAACTTTTCATCCTCCCTGCCCTTTGCTGTTAAGTGCTGAGTAAGCTCCTACTGTGATCTCTAGCCCAAAATAGGGAAAATGTTCCCTAAGTGAACAGGAGGATCTCCAGCAAGGATTGGGTGGGTGGGAGATGGTGATGCACAAACATTTGGGTGGTGCACATCCACACATGCCTTGGTGCACATAACCAAATGTATTCCGCACAGAGACTGAAAAAAATAAAGGGAATAGTGTTCTCTAGCCACCAGAAAAGGGCAGGAAACCACTTGTGTGTCTAATCTGTGCAAGTCATCCTTAGCAAACTGCCCTGCTGCCAGGTAGGATACGTGAGAGCAGAGATAACGAATGCCTCCGCGTGAGCCACCTTCTCCTGAAAGGGGAGAGAGGCGTTTGCTCTGGAGGAAGGTGGCTCTCTGGAGGCAGGGAAGTCTCAGTTCTTCCTGCTGCAGCCCCTTCCGATCAGCCTCCCCCAGAGCCTGGCCTCTCCAGTAAAACACAGTAACTGGCAGCGCTTTCTATCCCAAATCGTGGAGTCTGTGAGAGAGAAACCATCCTAATAATCTGCTTTCCCCAAGGCGGCCTCTGCCCTGGGCAGTCAGTGCCCACCCCAAGAGAAGAGTCGAAGACGTCCGGCCTATTTTCTGGGCTTCCAGACCAAAGAGCTACATTTACCGAACTCAGGAATGGGATGACTTTCCCAATGGCCGCTGGTGAGTCTCTGGCCTAGGCGAATTGCGGGGGGAGGAGAAAGAAGCTGTTTGAGTAATGGGCCCATCCAGTCTGAAGTGGAAGGCTGACTCTGTCAGAAAGGCAGAGGCTGCTGGACCCATTTCAGGGCCCTTTTGGAGTCCTGTCACTTAGTCCATTTGGTCCTTTGCTAGGAGAATCTCTGGGGCGGCCTGTTGCTTGGAGCTACGTGAGGGGCAGAGCTGCTGGCTGGGGTTGAGTGGGTGGCCCCACCACAGTGAGGTCATGGGTCCCTGGTTGATCGTATTGGCTACTCTCCCTGCCTTGGAGGGGGGGTGGCTTTCCCCCCCACTCTCTGGAGCAGTCAAGCAGGTCACGTTCCACCCCAAGCAGCACGCAAACCCCCTCTCTGCTCCATCCCGCAGGGGGAACTCTTCCTCCCCAGCCTTCGGCGAGCTGAAGGACTATTACCTCTTCTACCTGAAGAGCAAGTCTCCCCGGGAGGAACTTCTGAAGATGTGGGGGGAGGAGCTGACCAGCGAGGAGAGCGTCTTCGAGGTGTTTACCTGTTACATCTCTGGGGAGCCCAACAGGGAGGGGCACAAGGTGAGTGGAGGCCCAGGGCTGAGAACATGGGATGAGTCAGAGTGGCACAGACCGAGGATGGGCTTGGGGAGAGACGATGGTGCTTATTTCATACCCTCTCAAAGGCGTCTGGCACCCTGTGATGTTCCTCTGAACAGGACTTGGGGCTTTTCTTCACCAAACCCACTCTGAGACCATGCTCGGAGGGGACTCTGCACGGGAGAGCCCGCGCCCAGGGCTAGGAACGTGCCTGGACAAAGACATCTTTGTGCTGTGAATGGGGCAAGATGATCACTGGTGGGGTTGATTTTTTTCAGAGTAAAGATGAGTCTGATCAGAAGGGACAACCCCCATGAGTCCAGCCCTGGAGCCCGGAGGCTGGAAAGCCCCGTGGTTTGAAGGGGGTCTCCGAGACAGGGTGTCCTAGACCACGTAGGGCTTTAAAGAAGCGGTGTGAGATCTTGCACCCAGAAGTGAGCTCTCGGCTGGTTACGGTAAGAGCACTTGTGGGACGTGCTCTCTAAGGATGTGAAGAAACGGGTAATTGACTCATCGTGTCCGACACAGTTTGCATCGAGTACGTGATTAGTTAAGGGGTCGCTCTGCTGTTTCAGTGGAGTAGGAGCTGGGCATGCAGGCAGCCCTGCTCCCACTACATTTAAATTGCAGAGCCACAGCAGGGCTATGTTCCAGTCCCGGCTCGCGCTTGGGCCTAGACCTATCCCGCTGCGGCTCTGCCTTTTAAATGTAGTAAGGCCTCTTACTGCATTTAAAAAGCTGCAGCAGGGAAAGGTCTCGGACCCGGCGCGAGCTGGGACTTAGCAGTCCTGGCTCCTTCCAGTCCCTGACTGCTGTGCCTCTGCCTCACCCACCCGCCCGTGGCAACCGTGCTGAGGGGGAACTGGCTTTTAAGCCGGCTCCTGACTCCTCCTTCCCCCCTCCCCTCCCGCTGCCTCTGATATAAGCAGTGGTGGGGGAGTGAGTAGTCAATTGATTGTCTATTTTACATCCCTAGTGCTCTCACAAGCTCTTCTTACCTCTTAGGTAGGCAGTCAGCATCCTTGAGGGACTGTGAGGTTATGGTAACGGGTAGCTGCTTGGCTTTCACCCTCTTTCCTTCCTGTAGGTGACCTGCCTGCCCTGGAATGACGACCCTCTGGCGGCTGAAACCAACCTCTTGAAAGAGCAGCTGGAGAAGGTGAACAGAAGAGGAATCCTGACCATCAACTCCCAGCCAAACATCAATGGCAAACCCTCCACTGACCCCATCGTGGGCTGGGGACCCAGCGGGGGCTACGTCTTCCAGAAGGTACCAAACTATAGCTGGGCAAAGCTAGAAGGAACCCTGATCATCTAGCCTGGCATCTGAGGTAGGAGATCGAAGAACTTGGATTTCTGCCACCAGTAACGGCAGGTCGAGCAAGAAGTAGCTGTAGAAAGAGATCCAGCCTAGCATTTTATGGCTTCATACAACGGAGAACCCACCTCCTCTCTAGATACTTTATTTCAATGGTCAATTACCTTCATTTAAAAAATGGGACTTGAATGTGAATTTGTCTAGTGTCAGCTTCCAGCCACTGGATCATGTGAGACCCATCTGGGCCAGCTAAGACTAAAGAGCCTTTTATCATCTGGTATCTTCTCCCAAATTAGCCCTTCGCCTGTCAATCTTCTCATGGATACACTAGATAGGGTTTCTCACAGAAAGGCAGGCTTTGAGACCTGGGAAGTCCTACCCCAGTGGCTGTACCAGCCTCTTCCACTCACCCTCTTCCACATCTGCTTATTTCAGAGTTGAGGTTCTTTGGGCTAAGGACAAGTCTAGCTTCAATTCCTTGAGCTCCCTCCCAGACCTTTCTGCTTGTTGCTGCCTGTGATGCGGGCTTCAGGAAAGTAATAGCATCTGGCTATGTGCCCAGTAAGAGGATTTTCTGCCATCTTGCCGTGACTCTGCTGTCTTGGGCAAGAGCAGACAGGGCGGTCTGGCAGGAGATGGAGACCAAGATCTGAACTGTACTCTTGGCTCTTCCGCTGACTCACTCTGTAGCCTTGGGCAAACTACTTAATGTGCGAGCCTCTATTTCCCCATCTGTAAAGTAGTGCCGCTTACCAATCTTTGAAGTGTTCACATTGGGGGATGGAGAATGCTTTAGGTTTTCCCAGGAGGCCTCCTATTTGCTCAAGAAGCAGACCCCATGCTAGGTACTGCCTGCATGGGAATCCAGGTGATGCTCTTCCCTCCACGTCAGTCCTGACCCAGGGCCACGGCAGGTATCATCCTTGGGAGGAAATAGAGCCCTGAGAAAGTATCACGGGACCTCTCATGACCGCAAGAGCAGCAGTGTTAAATCCAGTGTCCTGGTCAGCAGGTGTCATTCTGTTCTGCCTCCCTAAATGCCCTGAAGTTTCCCTCTAAAGATAGAGATGCCTGACTCTTAGGTAGCACTTCTCAGCAGATCAAAGCGCTTTGCAAAGGATAATCAGGGAAACTGAGGCACAGAATGGGGAAATACCTTGTCCAAGCTCCCTAGCTGACTCTCAGAGCCAGGTATAGAAGCCAGGTCTCTGGCATCCCAGATCACAGCTCTGGGCCCTACTGTCTGCCTAGTTCTTCCTTGCCTGTCCTGAGCAGTTGCATAGTGTTACCATGGCAGTGACTGTACTGACCCCCGGCGGCTGTATTTCCCTGGCCTGTCTCCTGTGAAAGAGGCAGCACTGACACCCCCCCCCCCCCCCCCCACACACACACAGCCTGTGAATGGCTCTATAGAAGTGCAAAATATCATTACAGGGACCCCCAGAGCCCAGGTAAACAGTGGGAGTGGAGCACATGGTGGGGAACAAAGCAAGCTCATTCAAAGGGATTTGGATTGTTAAAGCCGCAGGGCCAGCAGATGGCAAATGCAGTTCAGTGGAGAAAGATTCCCCAGGAGCAAGGAAATCCATCATCCAACACAATGGCCAGGAAACCGAGCTAGTGCCTTGCTGGGCGGGGGAGGGCCAGTGGCTGAATCCAGGCAGGAGCGGCAGCCAGTGGGGCGAAGGAGGACTTAGGCTGTCTTAGGCACCCGCAGTGCACACCAGACAAAAGAGGTGCTGCTGTGACTGGTCAGACCCTCAGAGTCCCAGCTGGGCTCACCCGTTGCTCACCAGGCCGCAGGGCTTAAATTGCCAACAAGGGGGCAGTGCGGAACAAATGTCAAGCCAGCACCTGCTGCTCTATGGGGCCCTGGACTGACAGGTGCATAGGCTGTGACTTAGGGGTACGTCTCCTATCCCAGACTTGAGTTTGGACCCCTTAGCTCTGAAGGGCCTAAGCTAGGAGGATGGGTAAGAGGCTGCTACGTTGGGCTCTCTGAGCTAGGCACCTTGGATGCCAGCACCACTTCTGCCCTTTGTTTATTTGGCCATTCCCAGCTTGACCACTGACTTGCCTCAGTCTCCCCATCTGTAAAATGGGGATTGCATGGGCCTGCCTTGGGGGGATGGCTGTATTCTTAGTACCTTCCCCATGTTAGCTGTGGAGATTTCAGAAAAGTGGGTGAGTCCAACAGCTGGGCTTCCCACTGGTTTTCCCCCTCTCCTTCCTGCACTGCAATGAGTTGTGGCTTCGGTTCCTCCCACCCATGCAGGCATACCTGGAATTCTTCACCTCCAGTGAGAACATCACAGCACTGCTCAAAGTCCTGAAGATGAAGAAGTACGAGCTCCGTGTGAATTACCACATTGTCAACGTCCGGGTAAGAGCAGGCTTCCCTCCCACCACATCACAGGAGACACAGATGGCCTCGCTCATAGGGACAGTGTGTCAGCAGGGAAGGAAGATGGGAGATGGCAGCTGGGTGGGATGAACCCTGCTGGCTTTTCACATGGGGAGGGAGGAAGCTTAATTCCCAGAAAGTAGGGCCCCTAAAAATACCTCTGCACCATGTCCTAGCTCCACTCTTGGCTCAGGACCATCTTGCTCTAGAAGCTGCTTCCAATGTCCTGTCCTCCTCTTGGCAGGGTGAGAACATCGCCAACTCTCCCGACCTGCAGCCCAATGCTGTGACATGGGGCATCTTCCCAGGCAGAGAGATCATTCAGCCAACAGTTGTGGATCCTGTTAGCTTCATGTATTGGAAGGTAAGAGCCTTGCTCCAGCTGAGAAATATTGAATTTCTCCTCACTTGGGGGTTAGAGAGGAGCGGTGGGGATTGGTTTGGGGTTTTCTTCTCTCTCCAGGGGGTCTTGATAAAGTCATAGGGTCACATTAGTGCCTAGATAGAATCTATCCTGTGCACTTGAGTCCTTATGCAATGGGAGCTCTTCCTGAGGACTGCAAGATTTGCCCTGGGTTATGTATCTGCTCTCTGTACAAAGTGGGAGACTTGAGTGCCAGCCCCAGTATTTCTGTGCTGAGGCATTGTGGAGCAGCGCTGGTGCAAAAATACACCTGCAAATGCTTTCTAGAAAGCAGGCGGCTGCATTGATTGCCCAACTCCTTAGCTATAGAGTGGGGCAGAAGTGAAGCCCTACACTCTAGTTTCCCCTCCCAAGACCAGTCCCCCTAGAGGACATTGTAGGAGTCTCAGCTAATGTAACACGTGCGTGTGACGATACCAAGCTCTCTGCTTTGGTCCTGGCAGGATGAGGCCTTTGCTTTGTGGATCGAGCAGTGGGCTAAGCTATATGAAGAGGAGTCTCCCTCTCGCATGATTATCCAGTATATCCACGACAACTATTACCTGGTCAACCTGGTGGACAACGATTTCCCGCTGGAGAACTGCCTGTGGCAGGTCATGGAGGACACTTTCGAGCTGTTGAACTGTCCCACAGAGCAGTGACTGACAGTCTCAGGCACTTGTGCCATCCATCCACCACTCACTGCAGGCAGCTCAACTACCGAGGGGGTGAGGAGCCCTCCTCAACGTGACAGGGAACCAGACACTCCACCCGAAGACCAGCTCCACGCCACTCCCCTCCTGTGACCTGCCTTCTCTCAAGGTGAAAGACTCCACCAGGGGCTCCCAGAATCCCTCCTGTTACAGACTAAACACACCCACTGTCTGGTCTCCTATGCTAACGGCAGCTAGAACCACTACAACCTCCCAGCAGTTACAGGCTGCACTCTAACACAAATAAGCTACTTTTTCAGGGTCTGCTTTAAACAGCAGGGTAGTGGAGACTTGTCCAGTCTCTGCTGGAGTATTTAAACGCTAAATGGTCTAAAAGACTTGGTCAAGTTTTTTTTGTTTTCCTAACTATCACCCCAGCCCCTTTTTTGTTTGTTTTTTTTTAAACATGAATAAGGGAATTCTCCAAGCCTGCTTCATCTCTAGTGTAGTGACTAAGAATTAAAATGTGTGGCTTTTATTTTTAAATGATTAATAAATAGCTGACACTCAAGCATGCCTGATTTCTGGATCAATAAGACAAAGTTCAAAATCTCTCTTCATTGGGCTTGTATTTTAGCTATTTCAGCTTTAAATAGAGCTGAAAGCAGCTTTTAGGCCACTGGTGAAAAACATGCAGCCCAGTGCAGTTCTGTGTATGGCCCACAAGACATTTTGTTTACTGTTGCCCATGCATGGAGTTGCCAGGTTCCATTGGCATCTGTCCATATAGTCTTTTTTCCTACTGGTATTAGTAATATAACACACACAACTGACAGAGCCATCTCCCTCTGCATCTAATCAATGCTGCTACGGTGCAGCTGGCACCTTCTAAAAATTGTAGGTAGACAAGTAGAGTTAGCAAAACTACCCTATCCTGGGAGCCCGTCTTGGTTACTACAATCATGCAGCCCACAACAATGAACTAGCCTAGGTTATCCACATCCTCTTTATGCTCAAGGTTGACACTGAGGCTGTCTGTAAGCAGCAGCACTTACTGTTTAATGGTGGAGCCAGCCAGGCCAAGCTGGGAGGCATGAGGAGTCCATAGCATTGAAGCTAGAGCCTTTCACGCAACAAGCACTTAGGTCCTGGATTTTAGTCCTTGACTGCCACTGGTACAGGTGTAGAAGGGTGTTCACAGTGACTGGGCCACATGGCGTTACACCTGCTCCAGAGTTGGTGATTTCAGCCTCAGGCACTGGATACTCCTGCTTTATTGTATGTCCAGGGAAGTGTGTCACAATAGGATGCAGGATGTGAGCTTTTTGTTTTCCAGCACTTAGGCCAAGAAAAACTGTTCCTTATCCCTGCCCTAGGCTGGACTGTGAACCCTACTGGGTGCGTCTAGACTGGCAAGATTTTGTGCAAAAGCGGCTGCTTTTGTGCAAAAGCTTGCCAGCTGTCTATACTGACTGCTTGAATTTGCACAAGAGCTCTGACATTCTAATGTAAGAATTCAGTGCTTCTTGTGCAAATACTTTGACACTCCCGCTCAGGGATAAGCCCTCTTATGCAAGAATACTTGCGCAAGAGGGCCAGTATAGACAGGCACCTTAATGTTTTGCACAAGAAAGCCTGATGGCTAAAATACACAAAATTGCGCAAAAGCCTCCGTGCCAATCTAGATGCTCTTTTGTGGAAATACTTAACGGAAAATTTTTTCCGTTAAAAATATTTCCACAAAATCATGCCAGTCTAAACGCAGCCACTGTGTTTAATTCTTACAGTGGCAGGGTACCTGGGGCAACACTAAGTCTGACACATTTAAAACAAGGTTCCCTTCTGTAACACCCCGAGACTGTCCTGTATTCTGATTGGGGAACACAGTATTCTGATTGGTGTGCAAGATCAGGCCACACCATGTTTTACCTATTTCTCCCTTCAGGACTGGGAGAGCCCAGCCTGGTGGAGTCACTGAGTGTACATTTATGAACACAGCCTCTGCTAGCAGGGTGGCTGGGCCTGGGGCCCTGAAAAACAGCCTTTTCCGGAAAAGCAGCCTGCCAATGTAGACGCTCTTTTTCCAGAAATACTTATAACGAAAACTATTCTGTTTTAAGCATTTCCGGAAATTCATGCCAGTGTAGACACAGCCTAGGGGTTCTAGCAGTGGCAGTTCTGTGTAAACAGCAGCAGGTGCAGTCAAGGACTCAGCCCCCTCCAGGGCCTAGCTGGGCAGTGGGAAAGGCACATTCTACACAGGTGTCTCACCAGCATTAATCCTAGAGTTGGCACATGAAGATAAATGTGACTTTGGGCCAAACCTCAGCCCGCTCGTGTAGTGAGGCTGCAGCTGTGGCGCGTCTGGAGGCAGAGCCCAGACCTGACAACGCTCGAGGCCCCAGAGCGCAGGGCTGTGTCTGAAACAAGCACCTCAGGGAGCAGCAGGAGCCAGGTGCCTGCAGGGGCTATGCTGACCGTTGGACAAACCAGCGTTGCACAGCTTGGGCTGCTGTCACCATTGACCAACAGCGCCAGGGCCTCAGGGCAGCTTCTGGAGGGATTTGAAGATCCCCACCCAGCTGGGTGAAGGCTTTTTTACATGAGCAGCGGAGAGAAGCACTTTCTGCATCCTTCTGTCCCTTTAATTTTGGCCTTGTGGGGAATAGCTGATGCCATGTAATCACCCTCCATCGATCAATCACTGCAGCAGCTAATGAGGGGAGGGGGCGGGCACAGCAATGATTGGGGACAGACATGCCCAGCTGGCCTCAGCAAAGCTGTTTGGTGCTCAGCTGTACCCAGCAGGTTTCTCCATCACAGCCCCATTCAGCAGCAAAAGGACGCGGTGGGAGGCAGCGGGTCAGAGGTTGGCCACCCACTGAGGGGCTTAATGAGGAGCTGATGGACGGGAACACATGCAGGAGCTGCGGGCTGCACGAGAAGCCACAGATCTAAAAATAAAGCCTGCGGTCAAGGCAGCCTAGGCTGCCACGAAGTGGAAGTGGGGGGCGGGGGGGCTGGGAGGGGGC